CCAAGTATAAGTGGACAGTCCAAGTGTTCGGAGAGTACAGAGAAAAAATTATGAAAGAATGGAGGGTCATCAATATTTGGACAGTATATGCTCACAATACATAAGCGTTGGTTCTGTATAGTTATTTTTAACATTATAAATCTACCTTCTGGATCAGAAACTGTGTCCAGTACTGTGAAATTGATGTTTTTGTGTATTAAAATAGCTACCCCTCTTTGCCTAGAGTTATAGCAGGCAGAGAACATGCTGGGAAACTCAGGTGTTTTAAGTTCATCTGCCGATGTGGCAGATCTATGATTTGACAGAATTGCAACCAAAAACTCAGGGATTGCAAAGGAGAAAGCCAGACAGTGTAAGTGCAAATCTGGTAGTGAGAGCAAAGCTGTGAGCAGCGAGAACAAAACTAAGGACATTGATAACAAAAACACATAGAGGCAAACAGAAAAAGGAAACATACTTTGTTACTCATTTTAAGAAGTTGATTCAGATCGTAAGTTTTACTTTTGAAACATGTTTTTTTCCTTTAGTCAATATTTTTGTTCTGTCAATTATTTAATTTTTGTTTGACCGTCAAAGTGTTTTTCTTGATCATTTTAAGAATCTGATTCAGATCGTAAGTTTTTCTTTTGAAACCCATGTTTTTTCTCTCAGTGTCTTAAAATTTGTTTGCTCTCCAAAGTGTTTTTCTTGATCCTATTGGCACAAATCTAGTCCCATAAAACTGCACGTGTGTTTAGCGCGCCGCACGCGCACATTTAGCCGTTTTTATCAGCTCAGGTACGGTGTGTGTCACTCACTCTGGTTACTCCAACAGGGAGCCGGCTCCGAGAGCTGTTTCTTTAGCGACCGACACATCACTGCATCATTCCCTTTCCTAATGTCCTGAAGAACGGTCCGGAGTGCAGGCGGAGTGTTTAGCTAACCTGCAGGAAATGTCAACGACAGTTATCCAGAAAGTAGCTAAGGGTTACCAGAGATGTTTCTGAGGTGTTCGCTAGGTACTTTTAGATTTAAAAAGTCAAGAAGGGGGTCTGAGAAGCTGTTGGAAATAGCGTCAAAGTCGCCAAGTTGGCAACACTGTGGAGGAGCGCTTCATTTGCAACTCAGGGCAGCGCAAGCGGGAGGAGCAAATAATCGGCTTGTTTTGTTTGTATAATCGTTCAAAACATTTCATTCGGAATATATTTCTATGTCGATGTTCAGAATACGACACCTGATAGTCTGAAAAAAATAATACCTAATTTGGAAAAAATAATACCTCTGAGACCAAATTTAACACTTTTAATGGCCTTAAATTTGACTATTTGTATTTGTCACTTTTTAATACTTTTTAAAACCCCGCGGACACCCTGAATAAAACGCGCTAGTGACCGGGCTAAAATGAAGCTGTGGGATCCCGAGAGTAAAGGTTTTCGCAGCGACCGCTTCATATCAGGTACTTAAACCAACGTTTCCTCAACTGTGTATGGTATTTATTTTAAATGCTTTTGTTACGATTCTTAGTGGGCTTCCTAAACTTATTTTGGCGGTGCTTTTTCTGTCTTATTACTCATAGCAACAAGTAAACGTCACGTAAAACGTTGCCTCGTGAGTTCTGCGTGCTGCCGTTTACGTGTTTTATGATCACAGCAATTAACCGGCTAAGCTGTATTTAATTTTTAAGCAATGGTTGATAAGTTGTCAGATCACACATAAAAAGCACTTTGGATTGCTATTATCTGTCTCACCGAGACAGATCTCAGACAGATCCTGAGACGCTCCTGCCTGACATTTTTATTTTATTCATGGAAAAAAATAGTGATTTCTCTTGGTGTTCAGTTTATACATTCAAACAGCACAGCACTCTATTTAAACTACTTACATGTAAATCTATGTTATCCGTCCGTCCGTCCGTCCATCCATCATCAATCCACCCACCCACCCACCCATCCATCCATTTTCATCCGCTTTTTTGGAGTCGGGTTGCGGGGGCAGCAGCCTAAGTCGAGCGGCCCAGACTTCCCTCTCCCCAGCCACTTGGGCCAGCTCCTCCGGGGGAATCCCAAGGCGTTCCAAGGCCAGGACCGCTCCGACAGCTTCTGGCGTTTTTAAAAAGTATCCCAGGGGCACGGTAAGGGTCGGAGATGTTTAGTCTATTTAATTTCTGACTATATAAAACGATTTCTTCGGTTTTGAAGTGTGAAGTAAACTCCGACGGAGTAAAATCCAAGCCGATCCCGTTCATTTTCTTTACCTTTGTTGCCTGCCAACATGGCGTCTACTCTCTGAGAGTCACGTGACGTCCGGAGCTCTATTGTTAAAGTCTTTGGTACGACCCGACCGGGATTTGAACCCCGATCTCCCAGTCTCAGTGTGGACACTCACCACTAGGCCACCTTACTTATGATGAAATTCACTCTTTCAGGCTGAGAATAAAACACCTCACAGGGCTGAGCTGATGTTTATTCTCTTATTAGAGCAAATAAGCAACAGCTGCTGGGATATGAATAAAAACTGCAGTGACCTGCTTTAACACACAGTCCAGGCCAACAGTTTGGATGCACACCTTCTCATTCAGTGTGTTGTCTTTATCTTCATGAACATTTACATGGGGAGATTCTAACTGAAGGCATCAAAACTATGAATGAACACACGAGGAGTTATGTACTTAACCAGAAAAGGTGAAATAACTGAAAACATGTTTTATATTCTTCAAAAAAGCCACCTTTTACTCTGTTTACTGCTTTACACACTCTTGAAGTTCTCTCAATGAGTCATGAAGGACTACTTCTTGAGCTCATCACATTCGATGACAGTTTCAATATAAAATAAGAAAAAAAAGCACAAAAAGACATTTTAGCGTGTTCTAGGGCTGGGCGATAGGGGGATTTTAGACCGTTTTACGATCTACACATCTGACGGTCTGTCATTTTTGAGAGACGTTTTTATCACGATTCACAGCTCTGCTGTTGAATTTCTGCCTCTGAATCAAAAGGGAACTTACCCCAGGCGAATGACACGCCTTTGCTTGACCCTTAACCAATCAGAGTGAGTCAGAGTGAGTGTGCACGCGCCACCAGCATTTCATTAGATGAAAGGGGATTACATAGTGTACATGAGGATAATTTGGGGGAGGGAAAAAAGGCATACCAGAGTTACTCCCGGCAGGGTGTAGCTTTACTATGCAAAAAAAAAAAAAAAACGCCTCAAACATAGAAGCACGAACATCAAAGTTCACATGAGACTCCGATAGGGAGGCGGGGGGGGGGGGCTTGGATCCTGTTTCCCCAGCGGGAGCAGCCCTGCATGGTGCTCAGCCAACTGTAGCCACAGGTGGGAGGGAGATCTTGGGAGGAGCGCAGAGCACATTGAGTCCTGCAGGCTGATGACCTTGCTAGGCAGAGGTCCACAATCCGAAGGCGGGGGGGGGGGGGGGGGGGTCCACAGCATCTGTCTGCATTCCTTCCTTCGTGGGGGTTGTTGTTAGCAGCTTGAAGGCTGCCTTGGCGTCAGATTTGGATAACAAGACTTTGTTTGGGTCAGGTAGAGATAATTTTCCTCTCTACCTTCAGTCTGTAACCAATCATTCAAGTCCTGTGTATCGAAAATATTGATATCGCAATATATCGTGATTTTTTTCTTGCAAACATGTATCGATATTCAAAAGTCGTGTATCTAATTTTTGGAAGAATTTACATGGAAACATTTGTGTATTTTCTTTTCTTGTGGTGCAATTCAAATGCCGACCACTAGTTGGCAGCAGTGTGTAATGGGTTTTGTTTCTACCATTGAAATGTAAATCCCTCTGTTATGGTTGAACATGTTAAGTATCAGTTTGGACTGTTTATTGAATTTTCCTATAATAAATTTAGTCTTAAAAAATCGCCAAAATCGTCTGACTGAATGTATCGCAATATATTGTAATACGTATTGTATCAACAGAATTTCACCAGTACACATCCCTAGAAGATCCATTTTCTACCTAAATGACGTTGTTTATCTGGACTCAGTGTACCGGGGATTTGAGAGGACAGAAAGCGGCAGAGTGCTGAATGGTCGTGCACTCTTAGCAACCACCTTCTGCAAACAACCACAGTAACATTTTCAAAGTGGCACAACCTAAAAAATTTATTTAACACACAATCATTTAGTCCACCTCTGTTCTCTGGTACTTTCTTTTTATTTGTGCCCGATGCGCTCCGCACTCATCCCCCGTGCTCTGGTGGCTTCACCTCACTAGCGCGGGCACACACTGAAGCCCTTTTCAGACTGGCATTCTGGAATATGTGTGGACAATTCAGTCCGGTTTTTAACCAGAACTGTGTTTTCAGACACACCACTTTTGTACCTGAACTTGTCCTTTCGGCTGCCTTCACACAGCAGGGAAAAGTTCCAGATGTCCGAGGGGGAGGGGGTGGGAAGGCTGTACCCGGATATTGCGTAAACATAGTGTGGCGGGCGTACATGCGTCATTTACTCAAACAAAGCTATTCAGTCAAACATGGCCGACGAAGAGCTAGAATTCATCTCACTGATCGGACTTATGTTAAGCATAATTCTGCGCACACGAGAGACCTGGATGATGAAGCTCAATGGTTAAAAGAATCACGGTCCGTCTAGGAGACGGTACTGTAGGAGGCGAGCTGCCATGGTTCGCCGCATGCTACAGGAGCGAGCTATCTAGGGGCGCACAGTGTCCCCCAGTCCCCTCCTCCTCCCCCTCCTCCCTGTCCGGAACTCAACCTCACCAGTCTGAAGCAGCCACCCTCTCCGTGACAAGTCCGGTCCTGTTACTAGGGGCTTCGTCTGGTTTAATTATGGAAAAGGTTATCCGGATGTTTGTGTTCAGACACAAAGGTCTTAAGGACAAAGTCCCGAACTTTTCCGTTTTTCATGGCCTGTCTGAAGGGGGCTTCAGTCTCACACCCAGGGACATTTCAAAGCATATCAGAGGCCAAGGCAAAACTACTCATTTATCTGGAAACAGGGTGCGTTTGCACACACAGTGGTGTGTCTCTTACCTGGTACTCATCACAGAAGGTGTAGTTTATTACGAAGTCCCATTCTGACAGGTCCAGCATGTCAGGAGGACTCCAGCTGATGGCGAGAGTGTGCTTACTTTCTGTGACGTTCCAAACCAGAGGAGGTGGTCTGACTGCACAGAGGACACCAACGACCCTGACATAGTCATAACAGCTTCAAGGCTGGGATACTAAACCACTCTGCCCTACTTACCATTATATATGGTCCTCTTAGTGAAGGTGTTCCTAATAAGTGTGCTATTGATTGTTGAGTGTAGCACGATGTGGATAGCATGGGATAAGCTGGCCTGGAGAGTACAACCTGTCCTCACGCCACCAGACGACATGTATGAAGAACATTCTTGCAACTCTGCTGGAGGCTCGTCACCAAACTCCTTGGCTAATCTAAAAAGGACAAGAACACATGTTGGTTATCGTCACACAGCAGGAAATGAAAAAGGACGGATTGGGATAGATTAATGTCCATTATTGGGATTTTGAGAGGTTGAGGACCAACAAACTGTAAGACAGAGAGGAAATCATCTCTGTCTAGCCTCAAAACAATTTCTAATCGGAATCTGGCGTCCTTGAGCCTGCAAGGCTCCAACGAAAACTCCCCCCCTCAGAAGATATGTGGAATGTGCCGTCGCTATGGCAACTCAACTCTGTCTCCTTTCCCAGCCTGGGTGGGACTGCAGGAAGGCCGCTGAAGCGTCAAGGGTCACTGCAACCCTCCAACCCTCAATGCTCCCCCCCCTATCCACACTGAGGTGACATGTGCTGCTTCTATCGTGGCTGCAGGAACTGAAGTGGGGATAGTCCCAACCCACCACCCCACCTAGTGGACACTTATGTTGTGTTGTCTGGAGTCTGTTGCAAATCTGGCAGCTTCCCACCTTCTCAGCCCGGTGCGTGCACTCGCACAATATGTGTCACGCACTTCAGGCTCACAAAGCCTGTTTGTGCACTACAGAGATTCTTCCCTTGGGCAAGCGCTGTCGGCCCAGCGTCTTTCACACTGGCTGTGTGACGCCATTTCACTCGCTTACACATCATCAGGGCGGGATCCTCCTGAGACACTCAGGGCTCACTCAGCCAGAGGGATTTCCTCTTCTATGGCGCTCCACAGTGGTGTGTCGATGGAAGACATTTGTCAGGCTGCTTCATGGGCTTCACCCTGTTCCTTTACTCGTTATTATTTACGCGATGTGTCTTCAGGATCCATCACTCGTTCAGTGCTTGGACTTCAGCAGGCTGAGTGAAAGCATTATGGCACCACGTCAGCCCTACCTGAATGAATTTAATCCTCTTGTGGATGATAATTTTTAGTGGGGGCCCCACTCTTCTCTCTGGCTGCCTCAGCCTTTTTAGCCCTGGGCTGAGGCTGAGCGACCCTCACTAAAAGGAGACATGTTGGGTGTGTCCATTGGTTGAGCTAACCAGTGTGGCGTAAACCCATCCAGCTGCGCATTATTCCAATAGCAGCTAGCTTAAGGGCTAAGACTAGACGAAATAGAACGTTGGTTACGTATTGTAACCCCAGATTCTATGAGTCTAGTCGCAGCCCTTAAGCCACTGGCCCCACTGGTTCTGTTAGGACCAAGAGCCATCGGAGGCGAACAGTGGTGTCGCTCCACTTATACACCCACAGGGGTGCCCACCATTGGTGGGCGTACATTTAAGCTCTTCATGTTTGGCTGATGCTGAGATCATCCTTCCAATAGCAGCTAGCTTAAGGGCTGCGACTAGACTCATAGAATCTGGGGTTACAATACGTAACCAACGTTCTTCAGAAACATCGATTGCTACACCTTTAAGGTAGCGCGACTCAGGGTTGCGAATAACCACAGTCACCAGTTCTTGTCATGTGTCTTGCGCATGTATGTCTGATCTCTGAATTGTGTGTACTGAAACTCTAGCAGTTCTCTCAAACATTAAACATTTGAATGTTTTTGAGTGTGCTGCTGTTGTCACTCATCGTGATCAGTGTGTGTTTCTGTGTGTAGCACCAGAGAGGTGGGGGAATATTAGAACTTCCTTCAATATTAATAATTGTAAATTGAGATATTAGCTTCAGCTCAGAGATGCTGTGGTCCCACCTCAACCTCTCTGCCTGGTTCAGGTCCGGACTTGAACTGGACCACTGTAGAACCTTGTTTCTTTCCCAACAGCTGTTCTGTTGTAGATCTGCGGTTTCTCCATCACAGTTCTGTTTGACGACCTAGTTTGGCCCAAACTTCATCTGTCAGACACACGGACTCATGTTGGACTTTAGAAGACTTTGGTCTACAGAGAAGTTCATGGTGGACTCGGTGACTGAAAGGATTCCAAACCATCAGCTCTCCACCGCTGTGCTGACAGCTGCTATACTAAACACGGCGGCGCACATTAAGGGTAAGCAACTGTACTGTTGTCTCATTTTGTTGCAGGGTCCTGTAGATCATTCTGAACCAATGTCATGCTGTCAGTTAATTTTTAGAGGGAAGAGTCTCCTCCTGCAACCCTTCAGACAAGCTGTTCTATCATGACCTTTAACCTGCTGGCTGCGGTCTGAAGAGTCACACATGCAGCTCTTGAACTTTGTTGCAGATAAGTGACCTCTTATCTCGGGGCAACCTTGCTGGCATGTCAACAGTGCTAAATCTTTTCCCTTATCTGTAAAACAAGACTTCAGATTGTTTGGAAATGACCTTTGACCCCTCTCAGCCTGATGGACATCCTGAGGTGCCAGGTCATTCCCGATGTCTCTCCTTTTGTTAACACACTCCCATATGCTCCGGAGCAGCAAACGCAAACCCAAAATGAAGCTTTCCAGAAGTTGAAAACATTTTAAGACATTTAAAAGAGACGTAGCCTTAAAGGGACTTTACGGACTTTTGAATTTTTATGCTCGCGACTGCCCCCTCAGGCCAAAAGTGTAACGGCAGCTTCAATAGTAGGCTCGTGCACGAGGCGCGCATGCTGTACGTGCACACTCCTTAACGAAAATAACAGCTGAGACAGTCCCTTGTGTGTGTGTGTGTGTGTGTGGCCCAGAGGACAGGAGAACATGCAGCTAATTAATTAAATAATGTGGTTCTGTACCTTTCTCTTCAGCACAGCCAACAAAGGTTTATGATGGGTCAGTCCTCCTGCATGCTCAGATCATTCCCTTCCCTTGCTTGAAAAATTGTTCCAAAATGAAAGTTGAACCCACATCTTTTTTATCTGTGAATTCAATGCCGTTCGGCGAGTCTCAAATAAAAATTTGGGCATCTTACTGTAAAAAAAATATACCATTAATGTAAAAATTAAACTCTAAATAAGCTATGTTCACATCCAGAATCAAACCCAGGTCTTCTGCATGAGAGTCCGACGTCTTACTAGGTGAGCTAAAGAGCCAGTGATGTTGTTTGTATCTGTAACATTTATATCCTTGATGACAGCTGAAACAACGTCAAACCAAAGAACGGTTCGGAGAGAAAATGGCTATTTTGTTGCTAATTAGCAGGAAATATCTAGAAGAAAGTTCTACAGAAAGTAGCTAAGGGTCCTCAGAAATGTAGCTAGCTTTGTCACTAGGCGTTAGGAACAGCGACAAAGTGGCACTGCCTCTCTCTCTGCTGCTAAAGCTACGGATAGCGAATGCTACGGGCTATGCCTGAGCGTGAACGCGCATGAAGCAGCCTGCTCGACCCGAGCATCTCTCTTTTTCTGTGATTTTACAGAAAAACAGGCAATCACAGTAAAAATGCCAGGGCTCATTCTACAGGACCAGGGCATTGCAGGAGAATGTATGAAGAAGACATTTATTATTTCTATACATGTTTTGGCTGTCACACTTCCATAATGCCCCTTTAACGCTACTTCATCTCATTACTTGTATTTGGCTTCAGCATGTGTTGTAACCAGTGGCGTGTTACCACACAGCATACATGTAGGAAAAAGTGAGATTTGAAGAATCTCCTGCAGCAGACCAGGTGCAGTTCACTAGAGTGGCCGTGTAGCTGTAGCAGTCCAGAGCAGTCACCAGATCTGGAAGAAACAGGAACATACACGAAGCATCTGAACAAGTGTTTATTCCAAATACAAAAGCTGCTTTCTTCTGTAGTAAATTAAAGTACAAAGTACCTGGGGATGTGACATTTAAGGTGGCTGGCTCACTTTCGTTATTTCCACAAACGGTTTTCACAGAAAAAGACAGAGATCCTCCCTCCATCACCAAGAACATTCCAAACGTTGTGTTGCTACGGAGCTACCATGGACAGAGAAACAGAAGACAGAGAGACAAATGTGAACACTTCTGAATTCTTGAGTAAAACACAGAGAAAATGATATGAATGTTTATTTGTTAGAGCACAGGTGTCAAACTCAGGCCCTTTGGCCAAATATGGCTATTTATATTTGGCTCACAAGATAATATATCAAATGTTTATTAGCTGGCCTGCCCAGCTCTTTGCCACAAAGACTACAAGTCCCATAGTGCTTTTGGGGCCTTAGGACTCAGTTGAAGTGCCCACTCCTTTCCTGTTTGCATACATGAGTGTCCGGCGTCTGTCTGCAGTTGCAGCTCCTCCGTCTGACACAAACTGAAAATGCTCCTCTTTCTCAGCGCAGCTTACTTAACGAATGAAGCCCAGAAATGGAAATTTGAACAGCTCAGTAATCTGGCTGACGTGGAAGAACGCAAACCAACCTCCAGATGGAGCCGACTGAACTCCGGTTTAGAGACGTGCTCGACTCAGAGTCTGACTCTGGCTGAACAGTCGACACGCTGACCCAACTCTGCGCCCTAGCCGCTCAAATGCTCTCCATGTTCAGCAGCACATCTCTGTGTGAGCACGGCTGGGACGATAATCGATAAATCTATTAATCGTACTATAGATGAAAATGAAGTCAATCATTTTTCCAGCCTCAATATATCTAGGTTAAGAAATGCACAACTCTATGATCATCAGCATCATTACTGAAGTGCACTTTTGGTTGTTGACACTGGCTAGGCCAAGGTATTTATATTGTTCAGAGAGACCGGGCAATTTCTTTTATGGTCCGATATTTGCTAACAGAGTGGGCGTCCTTTTTTATTTAACTGTTTTGTTTGTTTTCTTTCTTTATTTAGAAGTTCTGGTTATTCCAGTGTTGAGTAAAGGTTTAATTGTTGCATTGAAAGGGTGTACTTGCATCATTATGACGTTCCATTTCCATTTCATTTATAAAGCACATTTCTACACGGCCGAGGCCGACCGACGTGCTGCACAGTAAAAGAGCGTAAAAATCAACACACAGGAAGAAGTAATAAAAGTAGTAAAGTAACTACTATAAAAACAATAAAAATAAAACAAAAACATCGTAAAATTCAATTCAAAAATACTTTATTAATCCCAGAGGGAAACTGATTGCTGTAGTAGCTCAGAATAATAATAATCATCAAGTCATCAGAGAGTTGTTGTATATTACAATGGCTGTTGGCAGGAAGGATCTCCAGTAGCGGTCAGTGTTGCAGCCAAACTGAAGAAGCCTCTGACTGAAGACTCTCTTCCGTTGTCGGACAGTCTTGTGAAGAGAATGCTCAGGGTTGTCCATCATTTTCTTGATTCTCTGGAGAATCCTTCTTTGCATTATCTCCTCCAGCGGTTCCGAAACTGCCGAAACTCTGGCTGAGTCCTTGAAAGGGCTTGGAGTTCCTCCATCTTGTTGGCCAGTGATCTCACATTGTCCATTATGATCGATGGAAGAGATGGTTTGAATTTCTTCTTTCTCTGTCTCCGTTTTGCTCCCGCTCTGCACCCACGCTTCTTGCATTTTAGCTCATTTGGGATTTGTGGCTTCAGCTGAGGTATTATTTCAGCCTTTCTAATGTTAATCAGCTGCTCCCGATTGTAAACTGGCTTGTTGCCATGGTTACGCATCATAACAAATGCTCAAAAAGTGAAAAAAGCTAAAAAATAGCAGTAAAAATCCTCCAAGCTTCACAGCACCAGAAACAGAAAAGTAAAGTGTCCAAAAAATACAGTTTTTCTTGAGAAACTAGAAGAAAAAATGTCCAAGAAAAGGCAAAACTTACATATAGTCAACAGAGCTACTCCAACATGCAGCCACCCAGAGCAGCGCAGTTCCGGAAAAAATGCCAGCTAGGCTGAAGTAAAAGCCAAGGAATAAAAATGAGCCTTCTTTTCTTTTCTTTTTTTTTTACCGTGTCCTGTCTGACTGTGAAGCAAACAGAATTGATGTCTGAATGCTGGTAACAAGCCTTACAGATTTACTCTCAGGTGGAGCATCAAAGCGTCTGCTTTTAATGTCACGCCTGATACTTAAAACTTTATTGTTATTGTTTTTGAATGCTTTGTAATTCCGACCAGACACGGAGACAGAGGTGAAAGAGAAAGGAAAAGACAAAAGTCTGTGAAGGTTCTCAGTCATCCAGGTCATTGTAGTCTAATGAGCTTGAAAGAAAAGCGTCTGGACTTCTTTGAGTTGCTTGAAGACGTTTCACCTCTCATCCGAGAGGCTTCTTCAGTTCTGAGGTCAAATGGTGGAGAGTCCCAGATTTAAACCCCGTGGGAGTTTCCCCCCGAAGAGGGAACAAAAGACTTGAAAGGGACAAAACCATCAACCGCCTGACATATCACCGCCTTTATCCAGGAGATGCCATACCCTGCATCTACGGACTTCCCAAGATCCACAAGGAAGGTATCCCTCTCAGACCCATTGTCAGTAGCATAAATTCAGTCACCTACAACATCGCGAAACACCTTGCTACTATCCTTGCACCTCTGGTGGGTAACACCCCACACCACATCAAGAACTCCACCGACTTCACTGACAAGGTCCAGAAACTTACCCTGGATCCAGATGAAACCATGGTGTCCTTTGACGTAGTCTCCCTCTTCACTTGCATACCCACTACGGAGGCAGTGGAGACTGTCAGAAAACGACTACAAGAAGACAGCACCTTGGAGGACAGGACCAACTTCACACCCGATCAGATTTGCACACTGTTAGACCTCTGCCTCACCACTACATATTTCAAATACAATGAAGGTTTCTACAGACAGAAACATGGCTGCGCCATGGGCTCCCCCGTGTCACCTATTGTAGCCAACCTTTACATGGAGAAAGTGGAAAGAAAGGCTCTTGGCTCTTTTAAAGGGAGAGCACCCAGCCACTGGTACAGATATGTGGATGACACCTGGGTCAAAATCAAAACACAAGAAGTGGAATCCTTCACTACGCACGTCAACGCCGTGGACAAAAACATCAAGTTCACCAGGGAAAACATAAAGGACAACTGCTTGCCTTTCCTGGACTGCGCTGTGCACCTTGAAGAAAATGGCAACCTCAACATTGAAGTGTACCGGAAGCCCACACACACGGACCAGTACCTCCTCTTCGACTCACATCACCCTCTGGAACACAAACTGGGAGTAATCAAGACCCTACACCACCGGGCAGAACATGTTCCCTCTAAGCCGGAAGGGAAAAAGAAGGAACACACACATATAAAGGAATCACTTCAAACATGTGGCTATCCTAATTGGGCGTTTAAAAAGTCAGAAAAGATGCACAAAAAAGAAGACCAGGCACCAGCGAGGGAGGATAAGAAAGACAGACGCAACAACCTTGTCATCCCCTAAGTAGCCGGTGTATCAGAGAAACTCAGGAGGGTTTTCTCCAAACACAACATACCAGTGTGCTTCAGGCCCAGCAACACACTCAGACAGAAACTGGTTCACCCGAAAGACAAAACTCCTAAACACAAACTGAACAATGTGGTGTATGCTGTACAGTGCAGCGAGGAATGCCCAGACCTCTACATCGGAGAAACCAAACAGCCACGTCACAAGCGCATGGCACAACATAGAAGAGCCACCTCCACGGGACAGGACTCAGCAGTCCATTTGCATCTAAAGGACAAAGGTCACTCTTTCGAGGATGCCAACGTTCACATTTTGGACAGAGAGGACAGATGGTTTGAAAGAGGAGAAAAGGAAGCCATTTATGTCCACTGTGAGCAACCATCTTTGAACAGAGGCGGTGGTTTACGACACCAACTGTCTGCCATCTATAATCCAGTTTTGAGATCCCTTCCCAGATGCCTCAACGCCCATGCATATCCTGGGCCATCTGACCTCAGGAATTCACATGATAGGGTGGGGCCAGGCTTCACAATGAGCTCACCCGAAACTGAATAGGACCCACACCCACCCTCACACCTTGGCTCATAGAAGATCATCAGGGAGTCTTTTGTTCCCTCTTCGGGGGGAAACTCCCACGGGGTTTAAATCTGGGACTCACCACCATTTGACCTCAGAACTGAAGAAGCCCCTCGGATGAGAGGTGAAACGTCTCCAAGCAACTCAAAGAAGTCCAGATGCTTTTCTTTCAAAGCTCATTAGACGAAAAGGTGAGAAGAGAGGGGGGAAGGGGGTGGGGGTTGGGGGTTCCACAGTGGTCTCCTTTAAAAAGCAGCTGAAGACTCACTTGTTCAAGCTGGCTTTTGTTGGACCTTCTTCACCTCTCTCTCTTTATTCTGCTCTCCCCACCTATTCCACCTTCCTCAGGATCCACTGATTTCCCTCTTTCCTGTTCCCTCTCTCTCTTTCTTAACATTTTTTCTTTTAAATCCCAATTGCCGATTTTTGCTCATTTTAAATATATTTTTAAACATTTTCTAAATGCTTTTTTATATTTTTACTTTTTTTTTTTTGTTTTTGTAAAGCGCCTCGTGATATTTATCTTGAGAGGAGCTATAGAAATGATACTTTCTTCTTCAGCTGATAGAAGACGGCTATCCTGTTTGCAGCACGTGCAGAAAAAGTGTCTGTGAAAGGCAGCAACGCTTCAAATCTCATGACACATCTGCGTGACCATCACCCACAACTCTACAGTCAAGGCAAGGCAAGCTAACGTTAGCGTTTTAGCTAAAATGCGTGATCCGAGGATTTGGGTTGAGGGAGAACGCAACGAGTCGCTATATAAAGCAGCCGCAGCGCCGCTACCTGCATATAAACCGTGTCGCGGACCCCCCCATGTTGAAATGACGCTATCTATGCATTACGGGGCTCCCAGGGGCAGATAAGAGTTGGTCTCTCTCCGAGAATAATTATGAATTTAACAATGATTACTGCCTGATGACATTTTCCCACATCTGCAAAGCTCACTGGAAGGACACAAACCGAGGACAATATGTTCCTGATATAGGGTTTATTACTCAAGTAAGGGTAAAAAAGTATCTGATTAGAAGGCTACTTGAATACTGAGTATCATCTGATCTAATATTTTTAAAATGATGACATCAAACAGACATAAAATAAGAAGTTATGGGCAAATATTAGTATTTTAAAGACTAAAGGGGGAAAATGTAAACAAATAAACATAATTACTAAATAAACAAATTTTAGGCTAAATTTAGACACAAAATGAGGACAATATTTTCCTGACATACAGGGTTTATTTTGAAAATGTAACACGTTTAAAAAATACCGCGATAATACCGAAAACCGTGATAATTTTGGTCTCAATAACCGTGAGGTTACATTTTCACACCGTGACAACCCTAAGCAGGATCTAACCACCTGGCTAATGTGAGAGTCCATCCGCAGCTCTGGGTCCAAAACCACCTACAGGTTAGTGATGGTTGGCTTCACTAAGCTGTGAAAACAGGGTGGCAGGACAGGACTACCTGCAGTGGGAGAGGGAGGAACAAATAAAAGAGCCTCCAACTTCGACTCGTTCAGGTGTAAAAAGTTATTATAAAGCCCGTCACCTCATTCAGGCGATCCACAGCCGGTTGCAGCGACTCTTGAGGTTTTAATTAAACATAAAATTGAACGTAATATTTTAACATTTCATAAGCGGTTATTTTGGTTTAGATAATGTCAACAATAATATCGTTAATCGTCAATCATTTATTGGACAACATTTTGTCCAACTAAATTTGTTATCGTCCCAGGCCTAGGCGTGAGTCTCACTGATGAACACCTTCCTCAGCTCAGAGCCCAACCCCAGAGCTGCAGGCTTGAGCCACTGAGCCGATGATTTTCCATCAACTTTCTAAATGTAGAAGTGAGTCAGCTGTTTGGGTGTCTGTTGGAAGAGTAAAAAAAGCTCGCAGACAAATAAATACCATCAGAACATGAGTAACAAAACCAGAGACTAAATCTGACAGTAAGGAGGCCACTGTAAAATACACACACACGCACACACACACACACACACATACACACACATACACACACAAACAGACACCCCCCCACACACACACACACATACACACACACCACACACACACACACACACACACACACACACATACACACACACGCACATACACACATGTCAGTAATCAGAACATTATATCACCGAGCAAACATAATAACAGAAGAAAGAGACTGTAAACAAGAGGACAAACACATACAATACGCTTTAAAGACCTGCGCATGCCCGACATGGGCAATAAACAAAGGAAAACAACAAACAAAAACAGAAAGCAAAGAACAACCCAAAAAAAGAACCAGAAACCCAGAAAGACAAGAACCAAAACCAGTGATAACCCTACCATACATCAGAGGCATAACGGAAAAAATAAGAGCAACAATGAAAAAACACAACATAAACACACCAACAAAGCCATACACAACAGTTAGAAACAGACTAGTTCACCCAAAAGACAAAATATCAGCTGGACAAAAATGTGGAGTCATCTACGAAATCCCATGCAAAATATGCAATAAAACATACGTAGGAGAAACCGGACGCCAACTCAACACACGGACAATAGAACACAGAAAGGAGTGTGAGAAAGAAGCAAGTCGAAAACACACAAGAGCAGCAAAAGAAGAAGCAGAAAGTACAATAAAAAAGTCAGCCGTAACAGATCATTGCTTAAGAGAAAACCATATAATGGACTGGGACAGCACACGGATCATAACCACTGAACAACAAAAATACAAAAGATGGATCAAGGAAGCAATAGAGATAAGGAGACGTGGATGTGGGACCATGAACAGGGACGACGGAGTTTACACGCTGGACCACGCATGGGACTGCATCGTCGGAGAGGGGAGAGCGGGCAGTAGAGGGCGACAACGTCCTCTGCTGCCCGCAGATAAACGGAGAAGGAAGTGACGTCGCCTCTTCCGATGGCGTCCCGTCTGATGGCGTCGCCTCTTCCTCTGGTGGCGTCCCGTCTGGTGCCGTCGCCTCTTCCTCTGGTGACGTCCCGTCTGATGCCGTCGCCTCTTCCTCTGGTGACGTCCCGTCTGATGACGTCGCCGCCTCCTCTGACGACGTCGCCGCCTCCTCTGATGACGTCCCCGAAGTCGGCTCGTCTGACGACGTCGCCGCCTCCTCTGATGACGTCCCCGAAGTCGGCTCGTCTGACGACGTCGCCGCCTCCTCTGATGACGTCCCCGAAGTCGGCTCGTCTGATGACATCGCCGCTGCCTCGTCTGGGGATGCTCTTTGCACTCAAGAGGCCGACGCTCCATCCGGCCCGGCGTCTCCACGGTCTCCGGTTCCGATGGTGGTTTTGAGGGCAATGCCGGCCCAGCCTGCAGTGACTTTGTCGCCAGCCCAGCCTGCAGTGACTTTGTCGCCGGTCCAGCCTGCAGTGACTTTGTCGCCTCCTCTTCTGCCGCAGGCGCCGGCCTCCAGAGGCCCGTCGCCTCCTCTTCTGCCGCAGGCGCCGGCCTCCAGAGGCCCGTCGCCTCCTCTTCTGCCGCAGGCGCCGGCCTCCAGAGGCCCGTCGCCTCCTCTTCTGCCGCAGGCGCCGGCCTCCAAGGGCCCGTCGCCTCCTCTTCTGCCGCAGGCGCCGGCCTCCAAGGGCCCGTCGCCTCCTCTTCTGCCGCAGGCGCCGGCCTCCAAGGGCCCGTCGCCTCCTCTTCTGCCGCAGGCGCCGGCCTCAAAGGGCCCGTCGCCTCCTCATCTGCCGCAGGCGCCGGCCTCCAAGGGCCCGTCGCCTCCTCATCTGCCGCAGGCGCCGGCCTCCAAGGGCCCGTCGCCTCCTCATCTGCCGCAGGCGCCGGCCTCCAAGGGCCCGTCGCTTCCTCATCTGCCGCAGGCGCCGGCCTCCAAGGGCCCGTCGCCTCCTCCTCTGCCGCAGGCGCCGGCCTCCAAGAGCCTGTCGTCGCCTCCTCCTCTACCCCTCTGCTGGTCCCTCTGTTCCTCTGGGCCCTTCCTCCTGGTTCCCCTCCTCCCGCCCTGCTCCTCGTTCCTGTGGGCGTCTGGGATCCGCCCCTTGAGGGGGGGGTACTGTCACACCCGGTCATGTCTCCCCGTTTAGTTCAGCCTTGTGTCTCGTTGATTACTCCCACCTGCCTCTCGTTTCCCAATCACCTTAGCTCCCAACCCTCCTGTATTTAAACCCTGTCTGTTCTTTGTACTGTGTCGGATCATTGTTTCATTGTCCAGCGTGCTTAATAAATCCTGGTTGACCGTTCCTACCTGCTGCCTGTTTACTCCCCGGTCTGGATCCAGGCCTTTCCTCCGCTCCACTCCGCAGCGCGCTGACACTGCTACAGACTCAACTGAAGATGGATGCTTGAGTCGACACAAACACAAACAACTGTTTCTCCTGTTGAGTTTCTGTCTGACGCTCAGCTAAAGTCACATCCAGCATGGCAGCATGCAGGGTATCTGCAGGTTTAAGGGAGCCAAATTTAAGACTTTAAAGACCTTTTATAAGGCCACTTTGACCAAATTTAAGCTTTTTTTTTTAAATTAAATTTAAGCTATAATTTCCAGCTATTGCCTGGAACCGGTGCTAACCACGTCGCGAACATGGGATTAGCCATCCAGTTACCATTAAACTTGCACTTCCCCATGGCGCAAGCTCCCACTAGCATGCTCATCTAAAAATAGCCCCCTTTCACAACCAACCGAATGTGTACGGTTCCGCTTACGCCAACATCGTACACAAAAAATGCTGAACTAACTAGAAATTCACGAAAATTTTATAGAAATAAAATAATCTTGTTTATTGGGTTTTTGGTAATTTAAGACCTTTGGAAACTGTATTTAAGGATTATTTGTCATTTTTAAGGATTTTTAAGGCCTTAAATTTGGAAAAGCAAATTTAAGACTTTTTAAGACTTTTTAAGGACCCGCAGATATCCTGTGCATGTCATGGGGCCAAACCAAGGAAAGGAGGTGTGATATCAGTAGGAGGCTCGTGAGCTGGGAGCTGAAGAAGGGTTAGTTAATACTGAAGCTGTTTTACATGAAGATGTTATGAAATAGTTATAAAAGACTGGATGAACGTTAGATGTTGCTGTTGGGTTTTATATATTATTACATCCCTGTTATGCATTTTTCAGTAGAATGTGTCGTTCTATTCTAAAGGTGCATTTATTTATACTTACATGGAAACGTGTACATCCCTATAAAACATCTGCTTAATAAACGCTTTCTCCCTGTTTTGTATATTTAATTCTTGGTCAGTTTATTGGTATTTTTACTAATCTTATCTGCATTGAGCAGTGGCTCAATTAAGATTCAACAGTTGGTTAAATTTAGTGTTTAAAACAGCTTGGGTTCAGAAATCTTGTGCATCCACATTTATAAGTGATAATTAAGCAACCTGATGGTGCCAAACATACAGATATCGGCCATTGGCTGACCACGACCGCCTCATATCGGTACCGGCAATAGAAAAGCCAATATCGGCCGACCTCTAGACTTTATTATCGTTGTCTTGTTCAGCTGTCATAGCCTGTTGTAATGTAAAAATACTGAGTTTGGTCCACGACTTCGTCCCAGTTTTTCATTTCAGCCCAGTGTGAATTCTAGTTGGACACCCAGACAAAACAATCATGCAACCATTCATGTTTGTATTTTCAGAAACAAATGACAAAAACACTGAAATTTTTCGTAACCAACTAATTATTTTGTCATTTTCAACCTTGCAGCTGTTTGTTGTTGTTGATTTTAAGAAACCACCCTCTCTGAGGAGTAAACTCACTAAGCTAAACATACAGAAAAGGGGATCAGCCCCTAGGAGGACTGGGGGTTCTGGTGCTGGGTTAGGGTTAGTCGTTGGTTTGTTCACCACCAACATAAACATGTTTACTTACCATATCCTTATATCCTGTTATGTCCACTTTATATTTGCAGCTCGTGTCTGAACGTGGCGGTGGATCCCAGGAGAACCAAGGCTGGAAGTCAGTTTCCCAAACCAGAGTCAGATTTTGTGGCGGTAGAATTTTCCCTGAATGTGGAGACGGGAAAGAAGATGAGTTGTAGTCTTGTTACAAGAAGTGTGTGAAAGTTCCTGTTAGCAGCAGAACAGTAAAACGGTGTAGTAATCTAGGACACACACACACACACACACACACACACACACACACACACAAGCACAAGGAAGTGAGCTGTGGTTGCTTTAGATCCGGGGGGGCAGCATTCCCACCTCCCTGTCTGAACACGTACCGTCCTTGGAAAAAAAATAGCCTTGACGTCACTGCTGGGAAAACCGGGAAGAGGAGCGAAAGAGATGAAGAACTCGTGAAAAATCAACCTGAACTTAGTTAAAGTTTCATACCTGCTGCTGACGCAAACATTAGAAGCAGAAAGTCCATAAGGAGCAGGTCAGAGCTGTGAAACATCCTCATTCCCACCAGCTGCGGCGCACTTCCGGGGTCTGGAGTGGATAAACGATCCTAAACACGACCGAAGGAAACGGCTCTGTCCCAACATCTCACTTTCGATACGGAGTGAAAAAAGAGGAACGGAGGATCGGCTGGAGGCGGGCGGGAAGCGGGAAGTTACCTGACGTCACGCATGGTTACGTACCGAGACGCAGAGCTCCTGGAAGGTCAGAAGTGGGTAGAGAAGCCAAAGATTGCGTTCATGTTTTTACTCAAGTAAAGGTACGGTTGGGGTGCTCGTGTTTCATCTTATAGCAGCAGATTTCATTTGTAAAATTAACAAATAAATTACTGTGGTTGAAATATTTACACAAAAATGAGTGAAAATAAAATAAGTAAGCAGAAGAAACGGCTCTTATTCACAGCAAAGCCTTACAGACAGGGCCAGATTAAGACTTCGTTGTACCCTGGGCAACAATGTTCAAGGGCCCCATCATCACGACCCAAGGATCACCATAATATGGTCACATACAGAATATATTACTGTAATATGCAGTAAATATACTCAATGCTTGAATGCCTGACATCACGAAACCCGCTCAGGGTAACCTTTGACCCACCTCGTGTGGACTGACCAATGAGGAGAGGGTCTAAACTTGAGGCCCTCTCTTCATTGGTCAGTCTGCATGAGACTGACTCAACTGACGTTCAGTCATAGGCAGCAAAGCGTCTCTGTGCAGCGCAAAAGCCCGGGTGGACAGTTTGTTTAATATAGGGTGACCATATTTCCATTTACAAACAAGAGGACAGGGGATCTGTGCCTATGACGTCACACTATGGCAACGCCACACAAACCATGTTGGGACCCATTTTTTTGTAAGAACTAAATTAATATCAGATTCTGCCAATAAAAGGGCTCTAAAACAATTCATATGTAAATATTTTGCATATTTAATGCAAAATCTCATTTTTCTGCTTAAGTGCTGAAACTACATTTTATTAATAATAAATTATTATAACTTTTGTTTTACTACAGCATCAGTGTCATTTTGCCTTGGCCCCCAAAATATCTTGAAACAGCCCTGGTTGTGTGACAGAGTTTTGAAGGTGATCTGAACTTTGTCAGATGTATAAATATTACATGTGTATAACTCATTGTTTTATACAGGTAAAAACGTGTAGTGGAGATAAATCTACCTACATTTTACGTTGTTTTCTTGTTTTTATTTAACTATCTTCCTGTCCTGTCTGTCTCTCATCTTCCTGCATCTCCTCTAAACTCCAGAAAAACTGCTGCCTGGATTCTTACTTTTTCACCTCATCAGTTACTTTTGAGCAGATCAAAGGGATCTCCTGACCGCAAAGCGGAGAGCGTGTTTCGATGCTGCGTCAGTGAGGTGAAATCACCGCAGCACAGGTGATGAGCTCCGCAGTAGCAGAGCGCTTCAGACACAAATAAGACAGAAAGTAGAGAACATGTGCGGACATTAACTATTATGTGTTAATTATAGTTTTTTGGTTGCGCCTCTTTGAGAATGGACCGTGCGCTGGAAGCAGCAGCCTGGAGCGCACCAACGATCAGCGCTCTGCCGCTCTCTACTCAGAAGAGTCCATAAATGATGTAATATAGGTAGAAAACGTTTTTCCGGCTCCCCTGGATGTGTAGGATTTACAGCTCCCCCATAATTCGATCCCTGCACCTGGATGAAAATCCAGACATTTCCATCAAGAACCCCCCGGACGCCCCGGATAGAGAGTGAAAAGCGGACATGTCTGGGGAAAAGTGGATGTATGGTCACCCTAGTTTAAACCACCGTAAATATGGTCATGTGGTAAGTAGCAGCTACGCTAGGAGGGACTAGACTCTGTGGTGACGTCATAAATGCGACGTGTCTGATTAGCTGTCCTTTAAATAGAATTACAACATGTGAGCGACCCAGGTCGTAAGGCAAAGCGGATTAGCAAATAGCTCCTTTTGCTCCGTTGACTGGCATTCATTTTTTTGTTCTTCCGAGAACCCATGAGCCGACCGGAAGTGGAGCAGAACCCTGTTTTAGAACTGGGTACATTGAAAGAAAATACCCAAATCACTTACACACAAAGTCTTTAATAGGAAGTTTACTGATATTTACACAGTTCTTGCCCCCATTTATCTGTCAAAACATTCAGAAACTGAACACCACTGCTATATCTTTTGTAATAAAACCCTTATTTCCATAGGAAGCATTTAAGACCGTAGATGTTCATGAGCCAACCTGCAAAATTCCTGTAGGTCAGCAGATATCCAAAGGTGCATCAGCTTTGTGTCAACACTGGAAATAAAACCAGTCTGTGAGATTTTCCTTCTAATCATTATTTCGCTCTTGAAAAACTGTGCCAGTCTTCTCGATGCACTAATGCTCTCAGTTCCTTTCCGACGTCCAGACCAAACACACAGGAGGCTCTCCATGTGTGGAGACCAAGACATGGGCGGAGGTCAGCAAATAACAACAACAGTCACAAGATCAACGTTTAATTTCACACCACTCAGGAGCAGGGGCGGATTTAGGACTGAAGAAGATCCGGGGCTTAACACACACACGCGCACACACACACACACACATGACACGCACAAGTCAACATCATATATATTACAAATCACAAATATTTTCAAATAAGATTCACAAACCTGAGTCAACACCAGTATCATCAAAGCTGGGGTTCTGTCGCGGTACTTCTGTTCTAAAAACGCCCTCATGTCCATCTTCACTCATGCGTTTCAGGCAGAGTGTAGAAGAAGCCGGCTGCTGAAGGGCTTCTTCTTCAGTGGTGGAGGCTCAGGCAGGCTGTATACAAACTACTGCCAGCTGCTCCCTCTCTGTTGGACTTTGGTACTGCATGTTACTTCCACGTTTTAGATCCGGGGCTTTTCATAAAACATTCGGGGCTTGAGCCCAAGTAGCTGGGCCTAACTCCGCCCCTGCTCAGGAGATCACTGGCTACTTTAGTCTAGCTGCCACTCTGGCATCTGAGTGTGGATCAAATTTACAACATGTGCAATCCTTCCGTCTTCTCCTTGGTGCTCCATTGGAGGCTGTCAGCTGAGTGCCTCCTCATTCTCATTTCCAGTCCATGTCTGGAAAGCACCTGTTAGTTTAGACACTTCACTGCATTTCCGTACCTCGTTCAGTCACGAGGCACTTCTTCAGACATGTGCTCTGGGACATGAGGTCTTGAGCCACTCTACTTTCTTTCATTTGTCTTCAAAAGAACAAGAAGTTCTTCTCTATCTTTCATGTTTTTAGTCCAAATTATCTTAGAGAAGAAGGTTGGCTCTCTTAAGAAAAGTAAACCAAAAACAATGAAGTGTGCCACGTCATACAGGGACTGGGCAGAAAATCAGGAGCAGTGAAGGAAAGTTGCAACATACTTTATCAAATTATTTACTGTAAAAATAAAAACTTCCAGGTGCTTAACCATGACACACCCATCTGTCTCTCACCTTGGTGAATAGGACACCAGGATGCCTAGACACTCCACACCAGGACGGAACACCCCACCCTTTTCAAGGTTTCCAAAGACACCATAGAAATATACCTGAACAGAAAACCACTCAGGACAGCCCTTGTAGCAGAAGCTGTGTTGGTCCATTCAGACGGAAAATAGTAAGGTGGACAGAAACATCCAAAGAAGACCTTTGAAATGTCCTTTGAGGAGCTGGGAATGCTGTTAACCCCGAGGAGAAATGAACTCCGGCTCATGGATGTAGATGGATGAAGGTGGTCACACCAAACATTGGCCTCCTTGTCATGTAGTTCTGTTTATATTGTCATGTTTCAGTAGCACGTTGCACTTAGTATAAAATAGAGGGGTGACGAGACTATTAGACTCCACTGTGCAAGAAGAACTCTTCCTCCTTTAGTCGTGAAAGTCCAGTCCAGCTCAGGTAGCTCACACAGGTTCAGCAGGTTCAAGGCTTTGCAGCCTGACATTGTCCAGTTGCCATGCTGATGGTTCAGGCTTCATAAAGACATTTGTTGGGGATCGCAATCACAGACTCCGTGTTCTCCACGGGTTCTGGCATCACAATGCCAGTCTGGGGCTGAAAAATAAAATTACAAATAAAAGATTTTTGTGGAGACAGAGAGGCAGAACAGAGCAATGACGTTCTTGTGTTCGACTGAAACCCACCTTCTTGTCTCTGATCAAGCTCTTGATTTCAAAGTGGTTTGGGATTTTTGGACATAAAATATCTTTGTTCCTACAAAATGATACAAAGGATGTGAGTGCACAGAGCCACAGTGTTAAAGCTGCAGCAATGGAATATTTTACTCGTTGGGAACCCTGTTAGGGCTGGAATATTCTAAGTCCTTCATGCAGAAAATCCACAAGTCCAACAATGTGTGATTCCAAAAATATGTCAGTGACAGACAAGTGTGTAAAGCTCCGATAGAAGTGTAACGGGAACAAAAACACAGCCGATCACTGCTCCCATACAGAAGTAGGCTTGTTTTACTTAGCTGGATACTGGCAACAACCATGACGGAATTAGAGGAAGTGAAAGCATTCAGCATCATGAATGGTTGCTTCTCAGTGTTATGCTGAGGATTAAACATCAGCTAGGCAGAAAGGTTTCCTGATGATTGGCAACAGCAGCAAGGAGCCAGTGTTGTCATTCAAGGTGCATGTTAAAAAGTACCAAGGACTCATCTAGACGACATGTTTTCACTTCAGGAGAATTTATTTAGTTTTAGTTTGCTTCAAGTTTAGATAAAAAATTGAAGCAAACACTCCCTGGTTTTTTATTTAGCTTTAGTTGTTTTGTGTGAGAAAACAACTGTAAAAATCTTCTGGAGTTGATCAAACTTCCTTTCTGACTCGTGTCTTGTAGTTTATGGTTCTGATTGGATGGAAAAGACAGACAAATGTCCATGCATCCATCAATCCTCCATCCATTTTCGGCCACTCATCCGGGGTCGGTCTTGGGGGCAGTAGCCTAAGCAGGGAGCCCCAGACTTCCCTCTCCCCAGCCACTTGGACCAGCTACTCCGAGGGAATCCTAAGGTGTTCCCTGACCAACCGTGAAACATAGGGTGTTTCTCGATGCCAAGGAACCTCGCGTTGATGTCTTGGCCCCGCCCCAGTTGCCTAGGAGATACGGCATCAGGAACCGCCAAGACGTGTTCCAATGTTCATGTTCTACCGAGGTGTGTGTTCTCCATTTGTTAGCCGTTTAGCTAGCTGATCAAGGACACATGGGTCTGCTAGGCTACAAGACACCTGTCTTGTAGCCTAGCAGAATACACCGCAGTATATTCAAAAGTATGGCGGATCAGAAGCCGACGGCTACTTTGGGGGTAAATTTCAAGTTAAAAAGTAAATCAACTAAATGTTTTTTTAGAACAAAAGAAGCTATCTATGGTTGGTTAGTTGCCTGGTAGTTGCAGCTTCGGTGGCTAGCGGGTAGTAACTCGCTTATATGTTTAATTTAACAAATATATACGCTATTTAAAAAGTAAAAGCCCCATTATGTATTTATATTGCAACTTATATGTATAAAATATAACGTTATCTCCCGTGTCACGTGATGTTACATGACCGCCGTGGAAGTTGCGGTCACGTGATGCAAGTCTGTTCCATTTAACCATTTTCTTTGACCAAGGAAGGACAGTGTCCTCGTAAGCAAGGCGCCTTGCCTCGCAAGACATCGCCTCGCAAGGCCATGCGCCTTGACATTGAGAAACACCTTTATTCTCTCCAGCGTGTCCTGGGTCTTCCTTTAGACCTCCTTCCGGTTTGACATGCCCGGAAAATCTCACCAGGGAGGCGTCCACGAGGCATCCTTACTAGATGTCTGAGCCACCTCAACTTGCTCCTCTCAGTGTGGAGAAGCAGCAGGTCTACTCCGAGCCCCTCCCAGATGACCAAGTTTCTCACCCTATCTCTAAGGGAGAGCCCAGACACCCTGCAGAGAAAACTCATTTTGGCGGCTAGTACCCGCAATCTCATTCTTTCTGTCACCACCCAAAACTCGTGACCATACGTGAGGGTAGGACTGTAGATCGACCGGTAAATCGAGAGCTTTGCCTTCTGGCTCAGCTCTCTTTTCATCACAACCGATTGGTGCAATGCAAGCTGTACTGCAGACGCAGCACCAATTCGCCCGTCGACCTCATGCTCCATCTTCCCCTCACTCGTGAACAAGACCTCAAGATACTTAAACTCCTCCACTTGAGGCAGGACCTTGTCCCTGACCTGGAGAAGGCATTCTACCCTTTTACAACACAAGATCATGGTCTTAGATTAAGAGGAGCTGGTTCTCATCCCAGCTGCTTCACATTTGGTGGCGACCTCACTCCAACGAGAGCTGGAGATCACGTTCTGATGAAGCCAACAAGACCACATCATCTGCAAAAATCCGAGACTCAATTCGTTGGCCACCAAAATAGATCCTCTCAACATCTTGGCTGCACCTAGAAATCCTCTCCATAGAGGTTATGAACAGAATTGGTGACTAAGAGTAGCCTTGGCGGAGTCCAACTCTCACTGAAAATGAGCTCGGCTTACTGCCGGCAATGCAGACCAAGCTCTGACACCAGTCATACAGGAACCTAAAAGCCCGTATCAGAGAGCCTGGTACACCATACTGTCGAAATACACCCCAGAGGGCCCCCCGAGGGACGTGGTCAAACGACTTTTCCAAATCCACAAAACACATGTAGATTGGTTGGGCAAACTCCGACACACCCTCCAGGACCCTCCTAAGGGCTTAGAGCTGGTCCAGTGTTCCATGGCCAGGACAAAAACCACATTGGCCTTCCTGAATCCAAGGTTTGACAATCCGCCAGACCCTCCTCTCCAGAACCCTGGAATAGACTTTACCAAAGAGGCTCAGAAATGTGATCCCCCTGTAGTTGGAACACACTCTGTGGTCTCCCTTTTTAAATAGGGGGACCACCACCCGGTCTGCCAATCCAGTGGAACTGCCCTCAATGTCTACGCGATATTGCAGAGCCGCGTCAGCCAACACAGCCCCACAACATCCAGAGCCTTAAGGAGGCCTTGCCACTGAGGAGCTGTTTGACCACCTCATTTACCTCAGCACCAGAGATTGGAGAGCCCAACCCAATGTCCCCGGACTCTGCTTCCTCACTGGAAGATGTGAGATTGAGGAGGTCTTCTAAGTAATCTGTCCACTGATCCACAATGTCCCGAGTCGAGGTCAACAGCACACCGTCCCCACTATAAACAGCATTGGTAGGGCATTGCTTTCCCCCTCCGAGGCGCCGGATGGTAGACCAGAATCTCCTCAAAGCCATAAGGAAGTCCTGTTCCATGGTCTCATCGAACCCCTCCCATACCCGAGTTATTGCCTTTGTGTCCACTCGGGCCGCATTCTACTTGGCCTGCCGGTACCCATCAGCTGCCTCTGGAGTCCCAAAGGCCAAAAAGACCCTATAGGACTCTTTCTTCAGCTTGACGGCATCCCTAAATGTCGGTGTCCACCAGCGGGTACAGGGATTGCCACCATGACAGGCACCAACAACCCTGTGGCCGCAGCTCCGGTCGGCTGCCTCGAAAATGGAAGCACTGAAGATGGCCCACTCTGACTCAATGTCTCCCACCTCCCCCGAAACATTTTGGAAGTTCTGTCTAAGGTGAGAATTGAAATTTCTTCTGACAGGAGACTCCACCAGACGTTCCCAACAGACCCTCACAATACGTTTGGGCCTGCCAGGTCTGACCGGCCTCTTCCCCCACCATCGAAGCCAACTCACCACTAGGTAGTGGTCAGTTGATAGTTCTGCCCCTCTCTTCAACTGAGTGTCCAAGACATGCAGCCGCAGATCAGATGAGACAACAAAGTCAATCATTGTGCTGTGACCTAAGATATCCTGGTGCCAAGAGCACCTTTATGTCTGAACATGGTGTTCATTATGAACAATCCATGAGGAGCACAGAAGTCCAATAACAAAGCGCCGCTCTAATTCAGATCAGGGTTCCTCCCAAACACAACTCTCCAGGTCTTACCGTCATTGCCCTTGTGAACGTTTAAAGTCCCCCAGCAGAACGAGGGAGTCACCAGAAGGAGCGTTCTCCAGCACCTCCTCCAAGGTCTCCAAAAAGGGTGGGTAGTCTGAGCTGCAGTTTGGTACATAAGCACAGACCACTGTCAGGATCTGTCCCCCCGCATGTAGGCGGAGGAAGGCTACCCTCTCGTTCAACGGGGTAAACCCCAACATACAGGCACCAAGGTGGCAGGGGCAACTAGCTTGCCCACCCCTGCTCAGATATATATATATCCTGTGATATTTTTTATTAGAATGATGATTCCATCTGACCAATCTGTTGTGGTCTGCGGTGAGTGGCCTCTCCAAATTCTCTGAGGTGAGCAGTGCCAAGGAGCAGACAGCTGCGGTGAATCATCTCATCCACCATCTTGGATATTTTGTAGGAGTGAGACACAAACAAATTTTTGGATGATTATTCAACTTGGTATTATCTGCCTTGGGTGAATCTAGCCACGTCCCAAGCTATTAACCTTTTTCTCTTGTTGTCTCCCGAGCCATTTGACCAACACTTTTATCTTTTTACTCAACCTTCAGGAAACCTGCTTCCAGCCTCACCTACCCAGCAATAACAAATAATACCTCTGTCAAATATGAACAAATATCTAACCTCTCCACACACATCAGGAACAGCAAATAACCAACATACCGAGGTGTCCCAGGTTCCCTAAAGGGTACCACTCCCTTTGATGGAATGATACGTTCGTCACAGCAAAGCTCACAACAATGTTCTATGTTCTAGGAGCTCTAGTCACACATGTCGCTGTTCCTTAGGAATGTCACACAGTGTTGACCTGTATCAGTAATGAAAACAGATTTATAAACACTTACCTGTTGAAGCAGTAGATGGACAGGAAGACACAGAAACAGAAGAGGATGGGAAGGACGATGGCCACCATGTTTGTCTGTATACAAGGCATTGTGTTACCTGTGATGAAGATGACACACAGATTATACAGATTTAACAGAAAGCATTACTTTAAAAAGCTCATCTGGCTGGGATTGGTCACAGACAAAAAGTTACAAGTTAAAACTAGACATTATGGTACCATGGCAAAAAAAATGCTAATGCTGTGTGATTAAAAACTAAGTCCACCCTGCAGGTTCCTGAGTGTCTGGTTGAACAAGGATCTGCTGATCAGATGTACAGAGTATCTAACTGATCATCAGTCTGGGCTTCTCTAGACAAACAGGACTTTCTTGCTCCGGAGCATACCGGTGTGTGTTAACAAAAATCTGAGAAGAGTCAAAAGTCTTTTCCAAACAACGTGGAGTCCATCCTACCACAGAGAGGAAAACCTTCATGACTGGTCACATCTTAACAAGGTCACTCATATCTCGTCCTGGTGAGATTTTGCTGGCCTGCTTGAGTCCACCGTGAACTTATCTATCCTAGAGCTGGGCTTCCTGAGCGTTTCAACACTGATCCACAAAAATACAACATTTGTGAACCCAAATATTACCTTTACAACCATGGCCATAAAGCTAAATAAACAATGAAACCACAAACACCTTGAGTCTTATTATACAGCTTCTAACTGTAGGGTTAGCATACCTATGTATTTGGGTGCTTTTTAATCTAAATATACTACACTACATTTGGCCAATAAGATGTGATTTTCTATACAAATATGGAAATCCAGTCTGATTGGTCTTCTAAACAATTAAAACATGACAACTAGGAAACACTTTATGTGATGAATGAATCTGAGTGGATGGAAGGTGAGGTGTGATGATGTGTGAATGTGATGTTATCAGAACCCTCGTATCTGGAGAAACTGAGTTCTGAGTGGGAGTGAATTTGGTCTGCTATAAACTATAGTGATGGTTTATAAAACCACATCAGACTCAATCTGTCAAGTCTACGTACCCTCTTGAAGACCCTCGTGGTAGATCCAGAATGTGTGGAAGTCCGTGGACCCCAAAGGTACCGAAGTCCGTAGAAGAAACCACAGTGCCACTAGACCGGTCTCGAGATGTCTCCAGGTCATGACAGGTAGTTATTTGCGTCTATGGATGACTCTTAAGGAGTTGGAGCTGGTTCAGCTTTGTTCTGAAGGAACCGTTTGCGGTCAGCTGTAGCGTGCAACAGGTTTTGACAGCTTGTCAAAAGAAGCGACGGGAGCAGAGGTTTCCTCCATTGGCCAGTCAGAGTTAGGCTCAACTGCATCACTCAGGAAGTGATTCTGTTTAAATAATGGCCATATTTTGGTTTACTGACGAATCAGAACTTGCCATGAAAAGGGGGTTTTGCCAACAAACCTAAGAACACTCCTCCCTCAGATACGACGATGCTGATTTTGTGGATAAGAAAATATCTATGTGCAGTGATGTTAACTTTAACTTGCGTCATAGATCATGGTGAGTGTGTCTTGTCCAGTCACATATGCTGATTAAATATATGGGTCATATATTTAATTTCATCCTTATTAATCTGAGCACAGATTAATCAAAACATTCCATTTAACCATATTGTTCATTCCATTTCATCATTATTTTAACACTTCATTATTTATAATTCATTCTTATAAAAGTTCATTTCATCACATGATCTAATTATGAAAGTTCATCCTTCTTATTCTGTGAAGTAAAGCAGTCTTAGATAAGAGGAAGCTGGAGAGAGACCTTGGTCAAGCAACAGTATCTTTCTTGCAGATTAAAGGCACCAGTTAAGACTTATGTCTCCATATGACCAGATACTGAAGAGGTCAGACTGTAGGTGGAAAACTGACCATTTCTGGAGGCTACATAACAATTTATGGTAATGAGTTTTAGCTTTTCACTTTAACTATAGTAAAAATTCACCGTTATTTTAACTTTGTCAACCAACTATTTGCACAGAACATTTGCTGACAGCTGTATGCTAAAGCCAGGTCTCTGCTTTTTGCAGATGATGTGGTCCTGTTGGCTTCATCGGAACGTGATCTTCGGCTTTCGCTGGAGCGGTTTGCAGCCGAGTGTGAAGCAGCTGGGATGAGAATCAGCTCCTCTAAATCTGAGACCATGGTCTTGATTCAGAAAAGGGTAGAATGCCTTCTCCGGGTCAGGGATGAGGTCCTGCCCCAAGTGGAGGAGTTCAAGTATCTCGGGGTCTTGTTCACGAGTGAGGGAAAACTGGAGCGTGAGATCGATAGGTGGATTGGTGCTGAATCTGCAGTGATGCGTGCGTTGTACCGGTCTGTCGTGGTGAAGAGGGAGCTGAGTCAGAAGGCGAAGCTCTCGGTTTACCGGTCGATCTACGTTCCTACCCTCACCTATGGTCATGAGGTTTGGGTAGTAACCGAAAGAACGACATCACGGATACAAGCGGCCGAAATGAGTTTTCTCTGCAGGGAGGCTGGGCTCTCCCTTAGAGATAGGGTGTGCAGCTTGGTCATCCAGGAGGGGCTTGGAGTAGATTCGCTGCTCCTCCACATTGAGAGGAGCCAGTTGAGGTGGCTCAGGCATTTGGTCAGGATGCCTTCTGGACGCCTCCCTGGTGAGGTTTTCCGGGCATGTTCAACTGAGAGGAGACCTAAAGGAAGACCCAGGACACGCTGGAGGGACTATGTCTCTCACCTGGCCAGGGAACGCCTTGGGATTCCCCTGGAGGAGCTGGCCCAAGTGGCTGGGGAGAGGGATGTCTGGGCCTCTCGCCTTAGGCTACTGCCCCCGCGACCCGACTCCAGATAAGCGGATGATAATGGATAGATGGATGGATTTGCTAGCTTTGGCAGATCAAAGTAACACAGTGCTGTTTGTCACTGTAAATACCAGTAAGTGTGCAGTAACAACAGAGGAATAACGCAAGTCAGGTCATGTTAATATGGGAGAAAAACACACACGCTGAATACAAAGCTTCTAATCTACACCGAACACCCGACACCGAACAATATATAAAATATTGTTCCATCTTGAAGTTCTAATCTGGATTTAAACATAAAAAGTATGCTAAAGCCAGTGTTGCTCTTGGTGGGCACCTTCGTTTTAGTCGTAGTCCTAGCCTTTACGACGAAAATGCATTTCAGTCAGTTTTAGTTGACTAAAATTCAAAAAGGTTTTAATCGACAAAGATTTTTGTTATTTGTTTAACAAAAATTTTTTACAGAGTATTAGTCTCTAACAAATAAATGTATAGTTCAGACGTGCACTCTGAGCTACTGGAGTGTTTCATACCAACGTCATTTATTTTAGGGCTATGGGACAATCTGCCCCAGTAAAACAATAATCACTAGACTGGTATCTGAGTTCACTACTTTATTGATAATCACTATGGTGTGAATACCGTAAATCTGTAAATTGAGGCCTGCCTCTAATTCTGGCCCTCCTTCCAATAAAGGCCTGGAGCTCGATGAGCTTGAGTAAAATACAGGCCCGGGCCTGTATTAGAGGATTTACGGTAAGTTATTGATGCAGATCTGTGCATTATTCTGTAGATTTCCACAAAAGAAATTCATGATTTTCTTTCTTTAACAGAATGGACTCACAGAGTATTATACACAATTTTTAAATAGAAATAAAAAAATTGTTTCTTTAATTTGTAATAAAAGAAATTTCAAACGCACATTCAAAGTTAAACAGACTAACAGTCGAAGGAACGCTGGGCATTTACCGTAACTTGTCACTTTGCTGTTGTCGCTGGTAACTTTGGGGCAGTGTGCAGTCGTGGTGAGGTTGTACTGAATTTTGTACTCGCAGCATTTTTTATAGGGAATTGTTTTTGTGTCGTTTCCTTTGATGTCGTAGCACTGCGGAGGCTAGGGCACAGAAACAGCAGGATTAATAAAAACACATGTCAGCTCATCACAGCCACACCAAATAAACACTCACTATGTCCTTGTTGCACTCCTTGTACCACAGACAATATGTCCACGTACACATCTGTCCCACTGCAGGAAGTGACCACGCCAGTGAGAGGTAACCTTCCTCCTCCTTGACGCTCAGCTCTGTCACACCTATGACTGAAAAGAACAGAAAGCTCATTTAAAAAACTGCTAACTTCTAGATTTTACTCAGCACCAAATGATATCTGTAACACCTCCAGAACCTCACACCCACCTAACTTTGCCTCAAAGGAGGCGATTCCAGTTGGAGACTCAGCCACAACAAGGACAGGTAGAAAACTGTTGGCCTTCAGGAAACACCCACCCCTCCCATGACTCCAGTAGGCATCAGCGCACTTCTGCACACCTTTAAAACCTTCTTCCTTTTCCCCGTGGTACCTGAAAAAACAATAAAACGATGATTCTGTCAGGCGCTTCCAACTGATCCAGAGTCCTGCTGCCACAGTGATGAGAGTTAACAGAAGAGATCTGAGTTATCCAGTTTTTGCATCACTTCATTGGACATAATGTTGTTCCAGATGTTCCTAACAGAACACCTGGCTCTGAGACAGCAGGTTGGGTTCCTAGAGAACATGTGACAGAGCGTTTAGGCTTGATTTATGCTTGACGCATTTACTTTCCGCTTGGTGATGCGGCTCGCGGATGGAACGCGCTTCACAACTCGCAGCGTTTATGGTTCGTGCGGCTCGTCTCTGCGGTGAGCCAATATTCTCCCAAACTGTAGGGGGCAGCATGGAGCTCTACGGCATGCATCCAACACTACACCATAGTAGAAGTAGAAATTACTGTTTACAACATGGCATTCCAGCATTTTAAACAGCGTCCTCGTCTTTTCCGACAGTGCGAGCTATTTCTCTCCAAGAATTATTTACAACATGTTGATCACGGTGATCTCTGAGAGCTGAATCATACAAATGTCTGTATTTACGAACCTCTGCCATACTAGTTCTTGCCGGTCCGCCATGTTTTTCCGCGTCCGACCGTCCACGTGGTTAGAAAATTTCCTAGGTGCGTGGTGCGGAAAGTTTGGGCCGTGCAGAGGCGCGGTGGAGGGGCGTGGTTGTTAAAATGACGCAATTTTGCTGCGCGGAGCCGTGCGAACTTCGCGGACGTGTCAAGCATAAACCAAGCTTTAGTCTGTTTCCAGCTTCTGAGGCAGACACCTGCCAGCTTTTAACACTCAGCTTCAGACTTTCCTTTGTGATGAATCTTCTAGTTTAGGTTAGGTTGGATTATCTTGGCTCATCCCTTTTATGCTGTAATAGGCTCAAGCCTGTTTGTTTCCAATGTTGTTGTCGTTTACGTTGTTCTCTCTTTTACAGAGTAACGATGATGGATCCCTTTCTTTTGGGTTGTCTCGGTTCTGTTCTTTCAGACCCAGTTGGTCCATCCTGGTTCTGGTTCTGGTAATTCTGGAGGTTTCTCCTAGCTCTTTTCGACTGTTCCCATTCATTCTCTGCTCAGAATGGATGATTACAATATAGTGAAGCTCCTTTATTTAGGAACAAATAGTTTAATTGGTATTTTATAATTACAATTTAATATAATTTACAGGAAATAATTATTAGCCCTTATATAAATCGAACTTATTGCTTTTCTTGAAGAGCAAGTCACGACCAAATAAACTTTTGGTTTTTGCTGATAAACGATATAAATAAGTGTCTAATCGTGCTGTCGACACGTGAAGTCAATAATTTGGCACTTTGGTGCTTCTTGGTTAGAACTTAAATATTCTGTCTAAAACTGTCAGTGTTGCGCCATCGTCAGGTGTGTGTGTGTGTGTGTGTGTGTGTGTGTGTGAGCAGCTCCCTCCTCTCAGTCTGCCAAGCAACAGCATTTGTTGCATTTTTGAAACATGAAGTGGGAGTGGAGTACGACTCTGGTAAGGGGTGACTTGCTCTTTAACTGCTGAGGGAAGAAGAAGAAGAAGAAGAAGAAGAAGAAGAAGAAAATATCATTTCTATAGCGCCTCTCAAGATAAAAATCACGAGGCGCTTCACAAAAACAGAAAATGTAAAAATATTAAAAAGCATTTAGAAAATGTTAAAAAATATGTTTAAAATGAGCAAAAATAGACAATTGTTATTAAAATAAATGTTTAGAAAGAGAGAGAGAGGGAACAGGAAAGAGGGAAATCAGTGGATCCTGAGGAAGGTGGAATAGGTGGGGAGAGCAGAATAAAGAGAGAGAGGTGAAGAAGGTCATACAAAAGCCAGCTTGAACAAGTGAGTCTTCAGCTGCTTTTTAAAGGAGACCACTGAGTCCACTGATCTCAGGCTCAGGGGGGAGAGAGGTCCAGAGTCTGGGGGCCACAGCAGCAAATGATCTGTCACCTTTGACCTTTAGCCTGGTGCTGCACAACCAGTAGGCTTAGATCACTGGACCTCAGGGACCTGCTGGAGGTGTAGGGACTAAGAAGATCACCAATGTAAGATGGTGCTTGTCCATGTAAGGCCCTATAGACCAGAACCAGGATCTTGAAATGAAACCAGAACAAGAAGATACTTGTGTGCTGACAAGGAGCTGATTTGAGCGGCCACCACTACTGAGGAACAATCAGGCTCTTATGTCATACGCTTTATGCTGAGGTAAAGCTGTAAATTGTTTGTTGCCACACTATTTTTATTTATTTCAATCCAACTTATTTAGTCGCTTGTGGACGTGGTTTCCCCTGAGATCCAACCAGCTGAGGAACAGAGTAATCAGGAGTCTACAAACCAGCAGAACTGGGTTCCTCACCGATAAGAGACGTCCACTTTTGTTGATGGGTTGACTGGGATCCAGGAACAGTTGGGACTTTTACTGTCAATATAACATTTGAAGTCCTTCACCAGCTCCACTGGAACAAAAACAACAACATGTCAAAAAACAGCCCCTCCCCCTCAAAACCAGATGGAGACAAAGAGTGGTCTATGTCCTGGCTCTTACCACGTTTCTTTGGTCTTGTAATGGTTTTAATCACTGGTTGACTTCTGTTCCAACCACTGCAACTAGTGGTAGTCTGGACCGAGAGCTCCCACCAGTCCGACGGCAC